TTTGGTTTATTTTTGATTTCGGGTGAAACGGATTGTGGCTTTTTCTTTTGCCGTCCACCGGATGTGAGATGTCTCACTCTGTCTGACGATGTCAGATGTCTCACTCTGTCTGACGATGTCAGATGTCTCACTCCGTCTGACGATGTCAGATGTCTCACTCTGTCTGACGATGTCAGATGTCTCACTCTATCTACCGGATGTCAGATGTTTCACTCTGTCTGACAATGTCAGATGTCTCACTCTGTCTACCGGATGTCAGATGTCTCACTCTGTCTGAAGATGTCAGATGTCTCACTCTGTCTGACTGTCGGCCGGCTAACCTTTATTCACTTTTACTAGAAAATGTCATCCCATGACATATGATGAATCCTTTGCGAACAGTGCTCACAGATGCATGATGACCTAACTTAGGCTTAGCCAGTTCATTCATTTATAAACATTTATCATTACCATGCTTATAAACATTACCATTTGTGAAATTATACAACACCTATAACATTTTTTTTTGTCTGTATAAATCCTTATAAAAAGTAATATCGAGCAATGAGAAGGGGGAAGGGGGCTGAAAGTTTGACAAAACATGCAAACAAGTAACGCAACTTATAACAATCAAAAATAATTCTCCCCACCCCTTTCAAAAATTGAAACCACGCTTTTGTATCACACTCGTGAACTATTTAAAATTTTAATAACCAAACAACACTTTAAAAAAAAAAAAAGAAAAGACAATTCTACGCAACCTACGCATTTGAGAATTTAAAAAAAAAAAAGAATATAATTTAGCGCAGTTATCGCACATTTTATGTTTTCTTCAAATTTAAAAATTGTCTTTTTTTTGGGTTTAGTTAAGGGGGTGGGGGCTGAAAATGTGACTTAATGTGTTGTCATTAGCAAAACGTCTATGTGCCAAGTTTACGCTGGATAATTTAAGGGAATTTTTTCAAAAAATCGTCCGCCATCTTGTCATTCTGCCACCCATCCAGTTACAAGCGACCCGCGAACAAAAGCGAATTTAATTTTAATGATTTTATAAAAATAATAAAAAAAATTAGTAAAATATATAGAGAAACTTGTAAAATAAGAAAACCATTTAAAATTGTGTAATAATTTTATTTGTATGTGTATAACTAGGCATCAAAAAGCATCAAATGTAAATCTGAAATCTACCTCCTAATCCTCATCTTAATGCCCCTTAGTCTTTGGACAGTTGGGGCGCCACAGATGTCATGTGAACCAATCTACCCCATTCTCTCTGTCTTAATCGCCCAGTGTTAGTCCTGTCCACTCTTTGATGTTATCCTCCTATCTTTTTCTTTGTCTTCCTCTTCATCTCCCTCCTCTTGTGGTGCCCTGCAATATTTCTTTTGCAAGCCCTTCTTTCTTTGTTACGTGGCCATTCCATTGTAGTTTGAGTTTTTTCACAGTCACCAGTAGGTCATCGTACTCCCCAATGGCCTGAAGAACCCTTTCTTTCACTGTATCATTGGAAATATGATCCCTATAGCAGATGCCAAAAATGCTTCTGAAGCATCTCAACTCCATTATTTTCCTTTCAAGATCGGCTGTTAATGTCCAGGATTCGCAATCATACAGGAAAATGGAGAGGACTAATGAATGCATCAGCCTGATTTTGGTGCTGGGAACTATATTTGTGTCATTCCATATTTTCTTGAGGTTTTTTAGTGCTGTTGTAGTCTGCGCATTCCTGGACATCAGTTCGGGCTTGGAGCTTTCTTATGAGACTATTTCTCCTAGGTATATGAAACGCAAGGGGGTCTCTAATCTTTCATCCCCGACCTTAATTTCAGTGGTGATGGCTGCGGTATTATTTGACATCGGTTTTGTCTTTTCGGCACTGATTAGCATACCGTAGGACGACGAGGTCTTATCAAGACGATTTACCAGGTCAGCTAGCTCTTCTTCGTTCCCAGCCAGCACGTCTATGTCGTCCGCAAAGCGTAGGTCGGTGATTGTTCTGCCACAAATGCTCACTGTTCCTTCATGCGCTTCCAGAGCATTTGACATATTTCTCTCTAGGAAGATGTTGAACATGCTGGAGGAAAGCAGGCAGCCTTGTCGTACTCCAACCGTGACTTGAACCATTCTCCGATTTTGTTGTTGAGGAAGACTGCACTGGTGGCCTTTTCATAGAGGTTGCATATCATGCTGGTTATGTTTGTGTTGATGTTGTAGTGCCTCATGGTGGCCCATAATGCAGCATGCCAAACCCTGTCAAACGCTTTTTTGAAGTCAACAAAGACGTAATAAATATTTTTTTGGTATTGAGCGTATTTCTCACATAGTATTCGGAGGTTTAGAATCTGCTCAGTAGTTCCCCGTCCCTTTCTGAAGCTCGCCTTTTCTTCAGCCATGATTCTGTCGGCGTATGGTTTTAGTCGGTTCAATATGATCTTCAGCATGACCTTGCTTGGATGGCTTTTTAGGCTAATTGTGCGATAGTTTTGGCATAGCTGTAGGTTACCTTTTTTGGGGAGGGTGACGATGAGTGATTGGGTCCATGGTTTGGGCCATTCTGCTGTAAGCCATATTTTGTCACAAATTTTGAATAGGGCACTTATCATTGCTTCTCCTCCTTGTTTCATCAACTCGGCAGGGATATTATCCACTCCGGCGTCCTTTCCAATTTGGAGTGCCTGGACTACTGCTTCTACTTCTGCGCGGAGAATAGGGTCATTATCAGTGTCTGTTGCTGGAGGGACATTACGGATCTCTGGGTTTATCTTTATACTCTCATTATAAAGCTCTTAACAGTATTCAGTCCATCGTTTGATTAGATCATTTTCTTCGGTCAAACATTTACCATTTTTATCCTTATGGTAGTACTACGCCCTTGTTTTGCAGTGGTTAGTTCTTTCACCAATTGGTACGCTTTTTTGCTATTGTTTTTCTTCAAGCAGTTTTCAATGTCGTAGCATTGCGCTTCAATCCAGTTCTTCTTTGCCCTTTTCATACCTTTTTTGATGGCTTGATTAACTGTCCTATATTTAATGGCCCACTCTGTATTCATATTTTTTCTTTAACTGCCTCCGTTTATCACACAGATCAAGTATGTCAGCTGTCACCCTTGGTTTTCGGGTTGGTCGATGTTTACCGAGAATGTCATGAGATGTGTCCGTCACAGCTGTGTCGAAGATATCAATCAATGTGTCCATGTCTGAACAGTCCACATCTATGATGTTAAGCGCTGCAAATGTTCCTCCTATTATTGCTTGGAAGACTTCTACTACTTTAGGATCCTCCAGCTTTTCAAGGTCGAATTTGATTCTGGTATTTCGTTTTTTGTTTACCCTTTTTAAGTGCAGTCTAAAGGTCATCATGACTAGGTTGTAGTCGCTCCCGATGTCAGCTGCAGGGAAGCTGCGAGTCTTGGCAATGTTTATACTAGACCGGAAGCGTGTTTGCAACATGATGTAGTCATTCTAGTTGTGGTGTTTCCCATTGGGGCTGTGCCATGTGGTTTTCCTGGACATTTCATGTTCACCAAATGTGTTGGCCAGAAATCTACACACATTGTATAATCGTAATAAACGTAGCTCATTATTCCTTCAACGTTTGTTTAACTGCGTCCAATATAAAGTTATCCAATAAATCATTAGAGCGGAACAAGGAAATATTTAAAAGTCGACCAATGAGAAGGCGTTTTATCGAAAATGCCTTGGTTACTGGAACTAAGTTAGGGGACTGTGACTGAACACCTCTGAGTCAGGGTACCCCATCGCCGCTGCGACTTGGTGACGTCACATGAGGGTTTGCCTCTTTGTCGCGTGTCAAATGAGTAGGGAGACACCATTTGCATGAAGCCACTTGCATGACTTCCAACGCAAGGGAAGGAACGCAATAACATGATATTAGATCTGGGTGGCGAATAAAGCCCATTCCAAAGACAAAACTACGTTTCCGTGAGAAAGCCGTTTCGTCCCAGCATTCGTCCGGACTGAAAGATTCCCTGGACGGATGGGGTGGTAACGCAACACCTTTCCCATGGAATGTAAGCAAAGCAACCCTGAGAGTGGACCGCGAACGCTTTAAACGCAGCGTTTTTGGTCGACTGGACTCCCATAGGCCAGGGGGAGATTCCCGGCATGCTTCCGGACGGTCTGTCGTCGAGGAGACCCGGCGCCTGGCCCATGTGGAGGTGTACCGAAGGGGGGGGGTTGTATTAAGAGCTGGTACTCATCGACCCACCGATGCCATTTCCCAATGAGTTGTTTTTAGTGGAACAAAGATTATTTTCTAGGCTTATTTCTGAACATTTTAGCGGGCCGAACCAGTAAAATATACAAGCTGAGTCTTCGTTGTCTTATCCACGGTAGCTTTGTAATTCTATTTTAAAAGCGATACGTGCTTAAGGGTCTATTTAGCATGAGTTTACCAACCTCACCGAGTTAAAACATTCTCTTACCATACATCTTTAAAATACGTTTGGACAATTTCGAATGACTTTTTAATTCAAAAGTTAAAAATCCGGCTATCTTATCTTTCAAAAATAATTAAAATGTCGATTCGTTCTCCAATAATTGTTTGAAGCAGCCAGAACTTATGTGCGTAAGGCGCTAAATATCTAAATCTTTTGGAATCGATTTCGACCATAAGTCTTATCAAGCATTTTGTTGTCTGCTCTTTTTTTGGTCGAAGGTAGTTTTTAACTTTCTGCTTGGTTTGGGTTTCGGGGGAAATAAGAAAATCACATTCAGTTGGTCTCTAAAATACACGGATAATTTATGAAAATATCGAAGATCATTCTCAATATTTGAAAAATCATTGACAGAAATGTGTTTAAAATAACCATATAATTTCAGTTCACAGATTCTGTCACTAACTGTAATATTAAATGTCACATTATGTAACGTACAATACCAATTAAATCTCACAGATCATGGCAAATGCTAAATACTCTTCAATTAAATATGGAAGATTCTGGGATATATCGTAACACTTAAAGGTCACATCTTCTGGCACATACCGTAACCCCTGAACACGACCCGGACCCAAGTGTAGACAAACGGTTCTGTCAGGTTAGCACGTATGACGTTCTTTGGTGGAATGAAGCATGTGCTGTCATCGTTATCGGTCAGTAGTGGGTCACTGGAGTTACTGCCCTTGGCCAGGTCATCTTACGGAATAAATATCATTATTGGTTCAACTTTATGTAAAAACAAAATGCTTTATGCAATTTATACTTAGTGATCTTTATTCCAGTTAAACCATAACAAAAAATTGCACTGACATTTGTATAGGGAGTAAATTATTTGAAAAATAAGTTTAAAAAAAAAAATATGTCAACTAAGAAAATGTTAAATTCTCCAAATTTATTTTTTTTCAAAGAAAACAGTATTCATTCCATATTACGCTCATGACAATTTTAGAAAGTTTAGAATGTAAGCGTATTATTGGGCATTAATTTATGATCTTTTGAAATCTATACAAAAGAAATATTTCCGTTTGAAAAAAGAAATGTATCAATATTTTAGTTTACTGCGTGGCATGTATCAATGTCTTATTTTGCTGATACAATAGGTAATACCCAACTTAATGTAATGGCATGACAGTGCAAACCAACCATCCTTACACGAGGTCCCCTGTGTACACTCCCTATCTCTACGACAAAGATTGTTCTTGCAATGACATTAAAATATATAGACAATTTACTGTACAGCCATGCTATGTATCAACGTCTCACTTCACTTATATGATAGTACACAGTAACTTACTGTACTGAAATGACGTCTAACATAAACTTACTGTACTGACATGACAAAGCGAACCAACCGTCTTTGCATGAGGTCCCTTGTGTACATTCCCCATCTCTACGACAAAGATTATCCTTGCAATGACATACAAACTGACATTTTTTGCCAAAAAATCCAAGCGGACAATGGAAAGCTGAATAGAGCAAGTAGAAATAAAAGAATTACGTTACCGCTTAAGACATTGATCAACATTAAAACATAATTGTATATCTAAAGCAGGGCCGAGCCGAGTGCAGCTGTCTATTCCCGGTCCGGGTCCGAGTACTTTAAGACAAAGCCCGGCGGGTATGAATCCACGTCCGGGTGTTGCAAAAATGTAATTTTAAAACTATAAATATTGATTTAGCTATGCTCTGTGTTTTTTCTTTAATTATTGATGACGAAACGAAGGACCCTCTCCCTCATTGCTTGACAATTCCTATAAGACGTATAAATAAAGTTTAAATTTAAGAAGGCTTTTTACAGTTTTGAAGACAGCTGTAAGTGCCGACGTATGTCAAGAGAGGCGTTTTCATAAGGGCGTTATTTAAATAACTAGAAAACTGTAACCTGAAGTAGGGGCTTTGTGATTAAGAGAATTCAATGCTATTAGAAGCAACAATGACGTACGTGGCAATTGCTTCTTTGTGGTGGGTCTCGTTTTCGTCGTGATTTTACTTGACGTCGTTGAAGTTGATGATAAAGTTGTAGTAGTAGATTGGGTCTTTGATGGTGTTGCTATTTTAGATGATGGAAGAAAATGTAAGAGAAACAAAAATTAGATGATGGAAGAAAATGTAAGAGAAACAAAAATAATTTAATACTTTCCAAAAACTAAACACAATTATTTTAAGTAGAGACAAACAGGACTTTGAAAAAAACGTCAACCAACTAAAGAAAAATTACTACTTCAAAGTCAATGGCATTTCAGCTAGTAGATCATCTTACAAAACCTGCTTTGAACCAGTAGTTCTCAAAAGTTTTTTTCTGCAATTGCCCCTTTAGCATCATAAACAAAAATCATTGTGGCACCTCCGACCCTATAACATATATATTTATGACAGTCATTTTTGTGATGCCCTCTCGAATGCTACTTCTCAGATATGTGTTATGCTTTAATGCAACTCCGTTATTTTTCTGTTGTTTGTTAGCTGACGATGGCTTCGTGCCGACACTTGTATTGTTTCCTTGCATTAATTTTTTTTCACTTTTGACAATAATTTTTTTTTTCTCCCATTTTTGGCTAACCTAATTGCAGTCTCTCTCCGTTATCATTTAATTTTAAGATTGGGGGATTGCGGTTCCACATGTAAGAAAATGAATTCATAAGAAACAAACCATTGGTGTAAAATAAACTGTTCATGTTGAGCTTCGATTGTGTTTGCAAAATAAAAAAGTTCAAACATTTCGGCCAAAGCCTTTATACGTACACAAAACCCAACAAAAGATCCTTTAACTATTAATTAAATGTACCTAACATGATGATGATTCAGTACTTTAATAGCAATTGTGTCCATGATATTTTAACATGCTCACAACGTTCTGATGTCGTTAAATCTATTTAGGTCGTTTGGCCGTGGAAAATCGATTACGACCTTTTTTAAAAACATTGCCTTCTTGCTAAGGCAAAATCTGAATGTGGCTGTTCAGATTGTTGACAAGACAAATTTTGGAATACATTTTTCAGGAGCCAAAGGTGCACGAGAACAATGGGACTATTCCAGGTACAGAATTAGCTCGGGCTTATCTGGTTTTACCTTTGTGTTCTGCAGCAGTCACTCTATGCTTCGTTGTATTGGACCCTTGTGTTGCAACTAGCGTCACGAGTCTGGATTTGTTTAGAAATATTCCCACAAGTCCAGGCAATAGGAAATGCTAGCAAATGTACTTTCAGTGGGACCTTTTAAGCGTTTCTTCTGACGTGTCTGTCGCCATTGCTCCGTATCGTGCCATTCTTGTCCATTTAAACATGTATTCTGCATATCAGGTAGTTTTCTTATTCTTGTTATTTCGTTGCATACGTCTGTCTTGAGATTCAATTTTTGTTAAAAGGAGTTGTAAAGATGGAGTTTTTTCCTCAGGCAGTTGCTTGATTACCATACAGTTTTCATCGAACCAGTCTTGGTGTTTTTTTTATTTTTATTTTTGAGCTTGGTCCCATCAACTCGATAGGGATTCTCAAACCGAGAGATGCTGTGTTGATTTAGAGATTCTGATTTTAGACGTGCTTCAGGACATCCACAAATATTGTGTTTTTTTTAATAGTCTGGCACACTTACTCTGTCAGAAGTTTAGGGATCTTCTCCAAACGTTTTCGACTTTAGGTTTCAATTTAAAGATTTAGCCTGGTGAAGATGAAACGATGGTCTTACTTAACAGTTTGCAGCAAGTGCAGACTTGGATACACGCAATACCCAACTTCACTTCCCCCTGATTATAACTTAATCGATGAGTGCCAATGTTCTGAGCAAGTGTTTGTCCAGAATCTCCGATTACGTGAGGGAATGCGAAAGAATGAATCATTAATTAGAAGTTCGTGTAGAGCGGAAGTCTTGAGAACTAGGAGGCCGCTACTGTTGCAATGGCCCACGTCATGCTTTTTGTTTCATCAGTACACCATCTCAAGCAATGTGACCGTGTCGCACTAAAGCATTGAAGTCACCAAGAGCTGTTAGCTTGTCCTGCTTCGGAACATTAGCTTTGACAGAATGAATAGCAAAGAAGTTGGTTTCTACTTCTTCTGTGTTGGTATATGCATGATATAACTTAAGGAAAAACCATTTCTTCATAATTGGTTTAAGGTAACTTAATACGTCTGTTAAATTTTAACACCTCTTTTTTTACATAAACTTTTATGGATATTTATTAATAAAAGACGGAAATCGGGCTTCTGAACACTTTGCAAAGGTCATTAAAATAACAAAATTTTCTTCTGGTGCCGAAAATCTAAGTGCGATCATTTATTTTTTAGGCATTTTTATATAGCACTTACCTTACAGCTCTAAGCCCTTTACAATTACTAAAAACATGTAAACTATTTAACTGCTAAACGAAAATAAAAATGAAAATCCCAAGAAACTAGAATAGTAACAACTATTTTACAAATGAGTATAGAAACATATATATATATAAATATGATTACATAGGCAATGGCTTCAGCGTTGTATTAACTATTGCTCAGAATAACCATATTCACCTGCAAGTAAAACGTGATGTATCACACAATCTAAATCTTCAATAAAAAAAATACCAAAAATTGTTCTGACCAATGTTATGCTCATATTCAAATGGTCTCAAGATTTTTAAGCAAAAAAAGCGTATCTAGGATTCGTGGAGTGCCCTGGACGAGACCATCAAAGGGGGAGGGGAGGGAGACACCAGATGGAAATATGCAAATTCAATAACTTTCGCTCTATTCCATTTTAAAACATAAACAGGGTGGCAGAAAATTGTGCTATGTCTAAAGAGCAGGCTGTCATCACACCAAAACGCCGAAGTACTTGATGTTACCGTACAGAGCAGTAATTGCTCGAACAATCTTTTCATTTCTTGTACGTCTGACGGTCTTGGGTGATACTATGAGCAGAGATGATTTAAGAGTTGATCATATCATTTTTCGTTTTCACATAATCTCACATGCCCTCCCGCAGTCGCATCACTCTACCAAAGTCACTCACTCCTCCTTCACTGTGGTACCGCACTCCAACAGTCGCACCACACTCCCACAATCGCATCACTCTACCAAAGTCACGCACCCCTCTCCCACTGTGGTTCCCAACTCCAACAATCGCACCACTCTCCAACAATCGCATCACTCTACTAAAGTCACGCACTCCTCTTTCACTGTGGTACCCCACTCCAGCAGTCACACCATTCACCCACTGTCGCATCACTCTACCAAAGTCACGCACTCCTCTCCAACTGTGGTACAATACTCCAACAGTCGCACTACTCACCCACAGTCGCATCACTCTACCAAAGTCACGCACTCCTCTGCCCCAATGGTACCACACTCCAACAGTCGCAGCACTCTCCCACAACTGCATCGTTCTACCAAATTCACGCACTTCTCTCCAACTGTGAAACCACAATGCAAACAGTCACACCTCTCTCCCACAACCGCACCACTCTCCCACAGTCGAACCACTTTTCCATAGTCGCATCACTCTCCAATAGTTGCATTACTTTCCCATTGTCGAACCGCTTTCTTAACAGAAGCTCCACATTCGCACAGTCGCTATATTCTCCCGCAGTGGCACCCCTCATGAACAATCGCACCACACTCCCACAGTCACAACACTCTCACAGTCGCATCACTCTCACAAAGTCTATCCCCTCTCCAACATTCGCACTATTCTCTTACTGTTGAGTTCCTCTTCCATAGATGCCCCATCTTTCGACATTATCTCCACTCTCCCACAGTGACACCACTCTCTCCCACAGCGGAACCCCCTTCCCATAGTCCTACAACACTCACATAGTCATAATAATAATAATAATAATAATAATAATAATATTAATTATTGGTCTTTTAAAGCGCGGTACCACAGCCTAGTGCTGGGCTAACCACGCTGTACATAAAAATATTATCAAAAAAGACATAATCATGACATTAAAATAAAATACAATAATGAAATAAAGGGAAGCATGAACCCTTGGACTTTTACAAGGCAAACCATGAACGGCAGCCAACAAGATCATTTATCGGTCAGAGGAAGGAATCAGTAAGGGTAGTATAGTTTAAAGAGATGTGTTCTGAGTGCAGTTTTGAATGCCTGGGTGGTTAGTATATTGCCGATATGTAGCATTACTCTCCCACTGTAACTCTACTCTCGCACAGTCACACCACTCTCTCACAGTCGAACCACACTGTCATGGTCGCAACACTCTCCCATAGTCACAAACTCTCCCATAGTCACACAACTCTTCAATGGTCACACCACTCTCCCACATTCACAACTCGCACAATGTTGCACCCCACTTCCCCATTCGCAAAACTTTCACAAAGTCGCACCCCTCTTCCATTGATGCCCAATCTTCCTACAGTCGGTCAACCTTGGTCAACAAAGAGAAGAGATTTTTTCTAGAGAATGGTATGGTTATGTGAGTGTGGTGGGACTATGGCAAAGGGGTTCCACTGTGACCG